GATATGTCTTTCCTTGAACTGCACCTATGTAAACATCTCATTCTCAACAAGAAGACAAACTCACCATTCTCTCAGCCTCACGGAGAGCATCAATATGTGTTTCTTTACCCCAGAAGTGCTTAATATGTGAGTCCTTCTGTGATGGGTCAAGCACTATTAACAACAAGAGTGAATATAAGGCAATAGTGTTCTAACAAGCACATACACATAGCCATGATATATGCATCATTGTCTGCAGTTCGCTCATAGTACCCACAGATCTTTTCAACAGCTGCATTCAAGGCTGTATGAAAGGGCTCATACTTTGAACTCTCAGAATGAGACATCCAAGCCTTATGCAAGGCTTTGAGAGCTGGCAATGCAAGCTGAAGGGTTGAGCCTTTATCAGACGAGAAACTCTGCTGTACATTATCAGCATGCTGAGCAAACAGTCAGTGACAAGAGAGACATATCAGCACATAACACACTGCAAGAAGAGATGTGAATAGCTCCACTCATTTCCACTCATCATTATTGAGCCTCAACTGGTCAATTTTGCACGCTTTGCAAGGTAGGCTCTCGAACACCAAGTTCATATACAAAAGTGTTGACAAACTGATGAAACATTAATGTCATGTCAGTGTCAAGCTCATAGCACATACAGGTTTCATCTTCTCCACACGGTTGAGCATAACATAGGTTGATGACCAGCGGACAGGCATATCAAGCAAAAGCTGAGAGGTGACAAGGCTCGTACTCGGAGGACGGGTCTGGACATCCTTAAAAAGCTGTTTTCATTGCGCAGAAGATCGTGCCTTGATGATGTTAAGGTCGTACTCTCGTAGGATTGGATCTGAAGGACTTCGGCCTCAGCTCGTATGCTGTGCCCCTTTCCCAAGTACTGTCCCTTATTTCAAAGACTTAACGATAACGCGTCCGAAGGTCCGGACGAGTCTCGTAGTTATATCCGGATGACTTCCGGATATCGGAAACGCGTTGTCATGCATGATATGGATATCATACATGGACATATTCATATATATATATATAAAAGCCTACAGCAATCAAGCCTATTAGCTTTGTCCATGGGAGGCTTGCTTAGAGGCGATATATAGGAAGTTGAAGAAAAGAAGCAGAAAGACTTGAGTAATTTGTATTAGGATCTGGTTTAATTTTGTTTGCTGAATGTCTGAAGACTGTGTTTCTTACATAATCTTTTTCATTGGTCTATGATTGCAATTGTTTATCCATGTTTCATATTTATGAGTTGTTTACGTTCATCATGTTAGTTTCTCTTCTAGGGAAAAACTTACATAATGAGTTCACATGTGATTATTCAGAAATTGGCAAGATCAGCTTAGTCAAATCTGATGACTCATGAACTCTCTTCTCTGCTCAATTTGTCGTCTAGCACCACTATTTGCATATTGGTGATCAGATCGATCGGACTGAGTCAGTTCTATTTTTATTTTAATAGTATACATGTAATATTTGATTACAAATAAGTGGAGCAGGATATTCCAGATATTCATTTGGCACCTAGGTATCTTTCCCACGCCAAATGTATAAAAGGAGGGCCCTCTTCTCCACTGAATAGAAGGAGATTTTCCACTTTATCTGTCTCTCACAGAGGAGAATTCCCACTTCACCTGTCTGTCACAGGAAGTGCAAGGGACCAGTATTTCCCTCAGTTAGTCTACACTAAGATTAGGTAATCTTAGTCTTGTATTTACTCACTATTGTTAGACTCCAGCTAGTCTAATCACTTGTATTTAGTTATCTAGTCCTTAGGTGGTCTAGATCTGTTGTATTCTTGTTGTGATTACATCAGCAAGGATTTGTCTGGGAAAAGCTTAGTCAGCATTCCCATCTTTTGTTTGCAAGACCTTTCAGCCACAGCCTGAGGTCCAGCTTAGTCATAGGTTCTCACATCCTTCCAGCTTGAAGTATCTTTGTGTTCAGCCTACTCATTTAGGATAGTTTCTTATATCACTGTCCATTACCTTCTTCAATATATTTCAGTGACTCTCATAGGATTTTACCTATACTAGTCATTGTCTATCTTATTTCAGCAGTCCATCGCTTCAACCAAACGACCGACTGTATAGTCTTGCCTCCAACGAACAGCACGTTATCAACCGAGAAGTAGAAAATCCGTTGACCGTGTACTTGAGGAGTTGGCAGCTTTTGTCTTATCAAAGTGTAGTTGTGGTGTCACTGCATTTTACACGAAAACATATAAGACCCTCAAGTAACAAGACAGCGTATAAGACTAATCCGGACGGATCCGGACTAGAAACAAACAGAGTATAGACTATCTGAAGATAGAGGCGGAGACGTAGACTATCAGAATCGATCCGAAGTCTCAGAGATTGACAAGAGTTGTTTAGACTCAAGTCCGGAGGACAGAAAGAGGACAAACTAAGATGATATTCGAACTGAGGTACTACAGGAAATATACATGGGTTTATATACTAAGAGGATAACAGAAGGATCAATAAGCAAAGGTCCGAGGCTATGTATGAAGCATATGCAAAGCTTATCAAACACGAGTCGGAAATGAAGCATAGGATAACGGATCAGTAATCATACCGGTAATAAGTATAACCGAGACACCGGGAAGAGGAAATACCGAATAGGCTGTGTTTAACATTATATGAACAGGAAATGAATTAAGAAGCTTATCGGATATCGGATCGGACGCGGATCTATGCATCGGACCGGACCGGATCTAAGAGTCCGAAGTCCAGAAGAGAAGTGTGAATATATGGGATATGACAGTATCCCCCCCTTAGGGCCGATCCCTAGAGGCACAAGAAGCATCGGTCTGGACCGGACGAAATTAATGTGAGATGATGGAGAAGTCGATGGGGGGAGTTTTCTGAGTTCGGAATCGGACAGATATACACAAGGTAGGATGTCCAGGATTGATTCTTCCTTTCCCACTTTTTCCTCTATAACGCTCTATCGGATATGTCTGGCAACACCTCCGGATCTCAGACAACTGCTAAGCAGAAACTTCTGGAGCTTCAACAGCAAATAGCGGACGCGGAAATTGTGGCTCGGATGGAAGAAGAAGAGAATCAGAAACATCAGGAGGCGGAACGGAAACACAAGGAGGAATTGAGGAAGATTAAGGAGGCTGAGAGTCTTGTAGCAGCGGAGGAGAAAAGACGCAAGGAAATAGTAGCGGAAATGGTGAGTTTCGGATGGATATGGTGGATTTCTCTAATGGATGGAAAGACTCGTGCTATGTCTGCGGAAATGGACGGATCCTGCGCGCGTTGTGCTAACAGGGGACGGACTTGTCTTTGACGGATGCAGAGGGCAACGCTCAGGTGAGTCGTCCGGATATTTCGGATCCGGGTTTTGACGTCCGGATAGATCAAGTCTTGCGATATCTGCCGGAAGGACAAGGCTACATGTCCCAGACAACCCGGAACTGTCAAGGTGTCCAAGGGCAAGAAGAGAAAACATGCTGCCGGATCTCCATCTCCGAAGGGCAAAGGTAAGAAACACCAGAAGACTCCAACTCCAGAAGATCTGGAAGAGATGGAGGAAGAATATGATGACCAGGCTTGGGTGGCCACAGCCAACAATATAGTGTTGGAACTGGCTCGGATGAACGCACTTTTGGAGAGGAACATTCAGGCAGTGGAAGGCAGTAGGGCTGCAGCGGACCGGATGAGTTCTGGAATTGAGTTGTTCCTTCAGCAGCAGAGGGAATTTCAAGCCATGCTATTCGGACACATCTGGAAGGGGTTTCGGACGACTTCGGATCCGGATCCAGAGGATGAAGTGATGGATAAGGCGTCCGGAAGTGAAGATGGCGGATCCGGAGAGGTGGATGGGTCTATGGAAATGTAGGATTTTCTGGTCCGTTTCTGTTTCTTCCTTAAATGTACTTCAAAGTTGAATAGGACCGGGTTTGTTCGGATATGCTGAGTGGAAGTCCGATACTAGTTTGGATGCGTTTCCGAGCTCTGTTGCAAGCAACCATGAAGTTTCCTCGTCTGTTCCTTCATATCCGGACCATCGGACGAGGTATAGGAGTTGACATTGTCTTCTCCGACAGTCTAACTTGGAGTCTAGGATTTCGGATATCTCATATTCGGGTTCTCCGTCGACTTCGATCGGAGGCAGGGGTGTTGGATACGATTAGGAATAGTATTCAAGGATGCTGGTTCTAATTGCGAGACATAGAAAACTGGATGTACGGAATGCATGGAATCCGGAAGTCGGATGGTGAAGGAGTGCATACCCAGACAAGCTATGATTTCGAACGGACCTAAGTTCTTTTCCGAGAGTTTCTTGGACAGACAGGTGGAACAGAAGTATTTTGCTTTGACGAAGACTGGATCTCCGATTTTCAGATCCGGAGCGGGTTTCCGTTTGGTGTCTGCAGGACCTTGATATCTTTCTTGTGCGTGGGCCATTTCTTCTCGGAGGAACTGATGTAGTTCGTCAAGGTCTATTGCATAGTCTCGTGCGCGGGCGGAGGGGAGATCACGTTCCGGATGAATGGACAGGTTCGGATGATATCCCTTATTGGCAAAGAAGGGTGATACTCCGGTAGTAGCACTCGGAGCGTTGTTATAAGCGAATTCTGCCAAAGGAAGTAGTTCCGACCAGTTATCCTGCTGATAGTTGCAGTATATCCGGAGATATTGTTCTAGGGTTTGGTTGGCTCGTTCAGTTTGTCCGTCTCCTTCCGGATGATATCCGGACATGAAGTGGAGGACCATATCTAATGCTTTTCCTAAGGACCGGAAGAAATGCGATACGAATTCTGTTCCTCGGTCCGAAGTGACATGGGATGGAACTCCGTGCTTGGAAAACACATGGAGGACGAACAGGTGAGCGAGGTCCGGAGAGGTAATGGTGTCGTGGGTGGGGATGAATATGGCTTGTTTCGATAGACGGTCTATTACGACAAGGATGGCTGTAAAGCCGGATGAATCCGGAAGATGCTCTATGAAATCCATGGAGATGGAATTCCAAGGCTTTTCCGGTATGGGTAACTACTTTAGCAATCCGTATGGTTTATGTCTCGGAAACCTTAGCTCGGCCACAGGTAGTACAGGACTTGGACATAGTCCTTGACATAAGTACATATTCCTGGCCAAGTATACTCGCGTCAGATGAGGTCTAGTGTCCGATTTTGACCGAAATGTCCGGACAAGGGGTGATCATGAGTATTTCGGAGGACGCAAAGTCGGAGGTTATTGGATTCCGGAACATATATACGGTTGTCGCAGCGGAGGAAACCACTATTGTCTACCGTCCATCTCGGATCCGAAGGTTCCGGAAGATGATCGGACGTGATAGGGTCATTGGGAAGTGCGGTCAGGATGTCTTTCCGGAGCTGGTCGATATCTATCAGAACGGCTGCCCTAAGAACCGGAGTTGCTAAGGTTGAGGCTCGTAGGGATGAAGCTAACTGTTCCGAAGTGAATACTGGACGGAAATTATGAGGGTTGATTCAAGCGTAGTCCTTATCCCCTCTTTAGGATAGACATCCCAGCGTCTAGTAAGGGAATCTGGTTTAGCTCCGAGTTTTCCGGGACGGAAACAGATGACAAGGTTAAACTGATGGAGAAATTCCGACCAGCGGGCCTGACGGCGAGAGAGGAGTTTTGTGGTAGAGAAGTACTCAAGGTTCTTGTGGTCCGTGACAACGTCTATCGGCTCGGCAGAGCCTTCAAGGTAATGTCGCCACGTC